ATCTGATATGATGATGGGGCTAGAAGAAAGGTCAGGGGCTCACCATCAAGTCATTAGGAATCATCCTCTGGGGAGCCTGAATGTCTGTACTAAATATCAGGGCAATCTATCTCACAAGTTGTTATATATTTCAGTCTGGACCATAGTGATTGACCCACCGACCAACACTGCCATCCCTAGAGCCATGCTGCTAACATTACGGCCAGAATTTTGCAATACGCAGACAGTGCAAGTTCCCCAAAAGCCGATCTGGCACTTTCCTTCAAAAGTAGCAGATTTTTAGTAAATGAGGTCCTCTTACATCCAGCACCTTTTCTTTGTAATATAGAGACAAAACACAAATGAGCAACTGATCCACAGGGTAATACAGTTCCATTATTTCAAAAAACCACCTGAAGCTAAGCTCTGTCAAAGACACTACTTAATAATTTTCATTTGACTCAGCCACCTGTTTTTCCCTTACCTGTTCCCTTCCACTGTTAGAGCACCTCATTTTAAGGAGCCAAAATCTTCGTTCTCCAAGCCAACCTCCCAATCTCTCACTGTACTGGAAAATGTATCCACGGCTCCCGGCTGCCCGGGGACGTGCCATGGCAAATTCATTCGGCATCCTCAAAGAGCAGCTTCATAGGCCATCAGTGTCATGAAGCTCTCTGCCACGAACACTAACTGGTGACAAATAATCCCCCTCCTACCCTCTCTGTGTCTCATCATCATTCCCTATTCTCTCTGTGTGGAGACACAAGCGAGCCTCTCCCCTTCTCCGAGGAGAATAAAACCCCCCAGAAAAGCCGTTTGTGTCCTGCACCCTCTGCTCTTTGATTATACACAGCTTTTGTCTTCCATCCTCCTTTTTGTAACGGCCTTTAATTCCGACTCGTTGCTGGCATCAGAAACGCTTTGTAGTCAACACTTTGAGCATCCGCGAGTAACTCGCAAACACAGCAGACTTTCATGGGTTAGCCCAGATTCACTGCAACAATGCATGACGTTGCAGGAGAACGTTTCAAAATAAACAAATTTAGAATCCGTGAGAGCATCAGATGGCGTCCCTCCAGGTACTATTTAGGGTCAGATTAATCAGACGAGACTCCCCCCACTAAAATGACAATGGAGCTAATCGATGGTGATGGGAGATCATGTCGCTGCTCTCCATCTAGGCCGTTAAACCCTCGACTGCGGAGGCTCACCCTAATTCAATCCGACACTTTAAATGAAATATCTTCAGCCGTCATTGATCTCGGTGAAACGCTACCCTTGTGATCTAACGCAGACACGACCCAAGGGCACGAAAAGAAGCTGTAAAGTGAAAGCTGTGACATGAAAGAGAGGGAAGGATGGGAAATGAAGAGAGATCGTAAGGGGGACGGGAGAAGAGAGAGAAAGGTGTTCCATCCATGTGGCAAGGAGTGGAAGAGTACAAGAATAGAGGACGGATTTAATGATGACAAGGAAGAAAAAGGGTGAGCGACGGCACTAGAGGTTGAATGGAAGCATGATCAAAGCGGTGCAGAAGACTGGAAGGAGCAGACGATGGGAGCGGCGGTGATAATGGAAAGCTACATTGAGGGACCAAAATTGGAGATGCGGGTCAAGTCCCTCAGGGTCTATCGAATCATGTCAATCAACTGTAAATCCCCCAACACATACCTGCACCACATCCCATCACCCTGAAGCTAATGCTAAGTGCCAAGCTACTCGTTTCAAACAAGTTACTGCCTCAAATGTTAATTTCATTACTTCCTTTGCACCAGAAAATGTATGAAATAAATTATTTTTCGATCCTTTTCCGACATAACTTACAAACAACTTTTTCTACAAAGGTCTTTTTTTCATTTCACAGAGACAGTGACAGTTCTAAAATGTTAAAAGCTGCCTTAACACAAACAGTGTACAAGAATTTACAATAAGTTAAATATTCCTTCCAACCTGACCAGGCGTTTGCAGACATTCTTTGGTATTTGGACACATTTCAGTTGGTACCAAAAGAGTGATGAGGTTCAATACCCAGCATTACTTGGTGAAAGCAGAAAATCTGTCATCGATCAAAAGCCAAGCGCCAGAACAACGGTAAAGATGACATTCGTCAATACAACATGCAGCACCACTGGAGTTCAAAGCCAAGAGCACGTTCAAACAGGGCTGAGACAGAAACCAGAGCGGAATCAAATGTCACTACCACCAATGTGTTGGCTTTTATTTGAGCAACCCAATAAAAAGAGTAAATGTCTTTCCAAATGTAAATTCAAACTAATTTAAACTTATTTAGCTTAGAAAAAAAGCACTTTTACTTGGAATTCAAACTGCATTAATGTAGGAAAAAATAGTATGTTTCATCTTTATAGATATTTCGGGTCATTCCCAAAATAGACTGTCCATCCTGGTGCCCTAACCATAGGCTAGGCTATTGCTAGAGTTGAGCTGAATGGACAATCAACCAGATAAAAGCTAACGGTTTTGTTAGTTTGTCACATCAGTTCGACAGTGGTCGCATCAACATTTTTACAGAGTTATTTAGAATTAGGAATGGAATTAGGTTAAGTAGCTTGTGTTCAAATACATTTGAACAAATTTGACTTCTTATCAAAAGTTAAGAAAGTTAAAGTAAGTTAACAGTTTGAGCCCTATCTAGAACTAGACTTAGGCCTCCTCTACAAAATGGGTCTATGGTGTTTGAAAGGTTTTGAGATGCATCTACAGTATGGCACATATGATTTGAATGATAAATATACATAAAGACTGTCAAAATGTTAGATTTTCAACAGGAAAAAGTCTAATTCATCTTAACTTTGTTTATTTTGCATTTGTGTGTGTTGGGAACAGAAAGAAATCATATAAAAAGGTACTGGATTATTTACACAAAATTATAATATGTGTACTATTAACATCAATTTTAATTTGTAAAATATTGAGCTTATCATGACACCCCCAAGAGCTGCAACAATTATAGAATCACTGCAAAGGAAATTAATCTTGAACTATTTTTATAATAAACAAATTGCTTCACTCATTTTTGTTTTTCTTCCTCAGAAGTGTCATATATGACAATCTTTAGCTTTTGGACTGAACAGAAAGCATCACTGTGGGCTCTAAAGAAATTGTGAATGCCATCTTCTCACAGTTTTTAAACATTTTATAGACTAAACGATTAACAGATTTTTCTTTGAAATAATAATAATAATAATAATTGATGGTGAAAATAATCCTTAGGTGCAGCCTATGTACATACATCACAGTATATACAAATTCTAAATCTAACACTATAGTGTTAAAGAAAATGTAAAAAAAAAACAAAAAAAAAAAAAAAAAAGCTAGAATGTGTGTAGAAAATATAAAAACAAAAAAAAGAAGAACAGAATTGGCAACCACCCAGCCTACCTGCTGGTCTTCAGGGCAGCATTCACCCCAGTGAAAGACTTCTCTCGGGCTAATCAAAGTGCTTCATTCCCCCTATCAGACTACATCCAGCCCCTAGCATGACCACAGAGTGCTGGCGCGCCATCACGCCTGCCTGAGACAAATCTCTCTGGTAAGGTTATTAGTATTCCCCGTGGGATGAAATCCTGAGCCCTCTCAATTCCGCAGCTTCTGGTTGAATGAATGAGGGGGTTACCGCCATCAATGGGCCCGCAGCCGGGCCCGCAGCCAGGCCCGGCCTCACACCGGTCCTGTGGGACGGGACACCAGATGCGGCAGCTATCGCACTTGTTACACAATCAAGGGAGTAATTGGTGCGCCTGACTTGGGCGTGTAATTCAATTAGGGCAATAAAGAAGCAGTTTTTATTCTCTGGAACAAATGCAAAGAGCAGCACGTGACAAGAGGCACAACTTCATGCAACCCGGAAAATCAAAAGACGCAGAAGATTTAGATCTGATCTATTCCAAGCAAGATGACAAGTCACTATAATTTCCCAAGAGTTTTCAGTTTACAAGTATACCTCGTGATTTTCTTTTCTTCTTCTGTGGCATCACTATTTCCCTATCGCGACTAAGGTTTGCAATAATAAGTTTATGGTTTTAGAATTTACTATATGATATATTATTTTGGTTTCGTGTCATTTGGTTGCATTGGACGACTCTTTACAGCCTCATACGGGCAGCAATCGATGCGGCAAGCCCGTGAATCTAGTCAGCCATCTATTATTAAAAATGTTCCAGGCATCCGTGAGAGCCGGGCTGTGAGTGATACTAAATAGATTAGGATGAGCCCTAATCCACATCTGTGTCTCATAAAAACAGACCTCAGACAATGCCCCCCCGAGGTGATATTTCAGTGACAGAAAAGAGAAAACCTTTGGGAGCATCCCCAGCCTAGAGGCATCTTCCACACGTTACAGAGGGAGCAGAGGGCAGTGTGGTGGATAAAGCTGGCCGCTCAGTCTGAAAGTCCATGAGCCCATGCAGCTTCACGTAAAGTTTGTCATTATCAAGGGAGGCAGACACAAAGACACTGTAGGGATGTAGCCTACACTGGAGTTAACTAAACCAGCTTTACTTCTCTGCAGAACAGCAAGTTCAGCTATTTTAATGTTGTCTAGTTTCAATAGTAGCATGCATCTCAGTAGGCAGCATCACATTGAACAGTTATATTGAAATGTGGTTTTAGAGACAGAAAATATATACAAAGGCACAACTCTTGTTATTTGCATAACACATATCAGCAACACTAACTGTTAACTATTACTCACAGCTGCATCACTCACTGAGAACAATACGCGAAGATGCGTTCAAGCGCGCCTTTCAGCAATCACAATCATTTCCCCAGTGACCGCCTTGCTGATGTCGACAGCACCTTGCAGAAGTGGTTTGTATATTTACACCCAACAACCGGCCGCACTCATTAAGAGCAGGTGCGGTCTCTTCGGAACAATCCGCGTTGTGCATATTGTCTTTCGTCCGTCTCCACGAGCCTCTCTGAGCGCTTTATAACACAGCAACGCAACACTGAGTGGCAACATGACACGTTTCTCGTGGCAAATTCATGATACATTCTCTTACCTGGTACCCAACAGCTGAAGAAGGGAGGCTCTCTCTCTCTCTTCACCGCAGCTCTCTTTTCTTCTCCACTCAAGCAAACCCAGGCGGATTTTTAAGTGGAAGCACAGCGTCGGAAAAAGCAGGTTTTTTTTTTTTTAGCTTTCCTTATATGTGTTGCTGGAGAGCGGAGGAGGACGGCTGTCAACCCGGGTGTCTGCGGGAGAAAAAAATAAATAAATCTCTGTTCAGGCGTGAGGGAAAGCGGTGGCGCCAGCTTGCAGACCTCCGAGCGCCAAGCCCGTCTGAGCGCTCAGCGGGGGGAGTGCAGCTGCTCGGCCGGACACGAGGTGGCAGTGTAAGCACACCAAATCTCTCAAAGTGGTTACCTGTGCTGCTCCTGCTCCATGAAGGGCTACTGTAGCCTCTGGGAACCGGCTAGGGACGGCCAGAGGTTCTAGACAGGTGCCATGCCCTGCAAAACGATTCATGTGATTAAAAGGAAGAAGAAGAAAAAAAAACACAGTTAAAACACTGCACTCACAACCATGAAACTCCTGGGAGTGGTTTGTTTACTGGGTTAAGAGGGTTGTCTGGTAACCGCAGGGTCAACGGTTCGATCCTCGACTGGGAAGTGTCGTAGTGTCCCTGAGCAAGATACTGAACCCCTGGGCACCCTGCTCCCTATATACAGGGATGGGTCAAATGCAGAAGGCAAATTTCGTGTATGTGTATATGACAATAAAAATGGTTTCTTTCTTTCTGGTTTCTTTTCTTTAAGAGGGATGGGGTGAATCCAGCAATGATTTGGACATCTTACTTTAGCAAAGACTTGACCCTCACGGTATGACCCGCCCTACTCTACCGCTGATTGGTTTACCTTTATATTCTTAAACTAAACCTAGGAAAGCATCAGGTTACATAGTTACAAGCATCAGGTTGTAAAGTGGGTGAGAACTCACTATTGGTCAAAATTCTTTACACATCTTGTAACTATGCTGTTGTTTGCTTGTTCAGACGGAATAACATCTCAGCATTTTATCTTTAGCGGTGTTTCCTGGTTTGATTAAATAAACACAGTCAGCTCAGCTATGGTTTATGGATTCAGACTGTGGCTCAGTGGTAGAGCAGGGTCGTCTTTCAATCAGAGGATCGGTGGTTCGATCCCCAGCTGTGCTAGTCCATGTCGACATGTCCTTGGGCAAGAAACTTCACGCTGCTGTGGTTGTGTGAATGTTAATTAGTCTCGATGGCATCAGTGTATGAATAGGTGTGACATTTAGTGTTAAAGTGCTTTGAGTCAGAAGACTAGGAAAGCGCTCTACAAGTATACAGTCCATTTACTTGAGCTTAGCTTTCTGTTGTTCTAACCCACTATGAAAGTAGCCTACTACCAACAACACTCAACCAAACCCTAGTTAAATAAATCATAGTAAAGATTTGGCACAGTGCTGGGTCACAACTTTAGACAGTGGCCATGCAGTAAAAGACAGGTGAAAGCAATGAGACTGGTTGGACAGCACTGCCAAGACATCGAAGTGACTCATGTCACTTGTTTATTTATCTCGCTCTCACAATTGTTTCTTGATTGTGGAATATTACCCGGATGGGCTTCGATTCCAACGACACACAGTGTAACAAAGAAACAATTCTGTGTTACATTTCACCATCACTGTTTCGCTTACAAACATGAGATTTGAGCCAAAAAATTTGAATAGTATGTATGTATGATTATCATGCAATTGACAGACAACGTTAATATTGGCATTGGTATCAGCTGACAAGGATGTTTATAAATGGCAGTGGCACGGCCACCCTACTCACTGTGCCTTGCACATGTTTAAAATAAAAACATGAATGCTGTATATGAACCTGTGTATTATTCAGTGGCGGGCCGTGCATTTTATACCCTTCACTGCTGTCCTGCAGCTGAAACACAGCTACGGTTATTATTTGTTTCGTGAAAAATGAAGCTCAACACTTATAGATAGACTGCGTCTCCTCTCTGCTCTGACTGCAGCTGGGACTGCTGCACGAGGCTTCTGTGAGAGTACCCGCCTGTGTGTGCTTTGGGGCGGTGGAGGGGCTCACGTCAGCTCCCGCTGCTCGTTCACGACAGTGCAGAACGTACGTGCTTTAACGTCAAAACACCAGAAAAGTCTCCAATAACACCAGAACAAGTTGCTAGATTTGTCACTAGTAGCTTTTGACAAAAAAAGTCGCCATGAGGGTTTGGAAGTTGCCAGATTTAGCGGGAAAGTCGCCAAATTGTCAACACTGGCACCAGTTAAATATGTCCCCAGAGCAACATTGGACGTAACAATGGTTCCTATCACATATAAAACCAAACAAAAATCCATCTTCCAAGTTGTACAAATAATAATATATGAACAAGCATATTAAAGCTACTGCAGATGTAAAAACAAACGCATTTAACTTACCAGAGCTGCTGTTCACTATTTAAAGACAAAGTCCATCCTCCTTTCTTTGTTAATAAAGAGTTTAATCCCACGGTTGTTGAGTACATCCGTGCGTTTTCGTTCCAGTAAGAAGTCCTTCTCGATTCATGGATGCCAGTGAAGACAGTCGAGCCTCCCCAGTTGTATTTCTTGAATACATTTTAATGCGTTTGAGGCTGAAAATGTCCGCTCGACAGAGGCAGCAGATTTTGGGATTGTCACCACCCAATATGTCACGCTAGCCCACTGACCAATCACGTATGGCTAGGCCAGCTAGCAGGCTCTGACATGTCAAAGAATACGCCCAACATGTCAAACTAAAGATCTGATTAGTTGAACACCATGACAATCAACAATATCATCCCCATTCACTTAAACTGCAAAGGGATTCACTTGTACTTCTGAAGGCCTCGGGCCTCTGTTCTTACCTAGAGACACAGAGGTGAAATCTGATTGGATAAAAGCTCTACTTAAAACAAGCTGCACTGGAATCAGAGCATCTGAGGAAGACAGTAGCTGTGCAATGAGAAAATAAGTTAAATTATAAATTATAATACATGTAGTGTATTTAAGAAAAAATCTTAAATTATAAAATAGCTATAACTTTGTGATTCTGTTTAGGCCAGCAGACGGCAGTGGTGACGGCCCACCACTGCCTTTATTTGAATAGCTTAGTATTGAATGCACAATAAAGAGGCATGTTTATACATGCCACTCGACCCAGTTTAAAATAAAACACAATTTCATACAATATATATAGTCGGGGGTCCCTGCTCCTTCTCTCTAACAGTTTGGGGGTCCTTGGCCAGAAAAAGGTTGAAGACCCCTGATGTAGAGGATAGTGCTTTACAAACAGCACTGCTCGCCCTCGCATCTGGCTTAAAAGTAAAGTACGTTTTTTACTGTTCATTAGATGCCTGTAATTAGGTCTGTGGTTAACACAAGCTTAAGAGATTTTAACGTTGTTTTCTACGACATAAAATATATCAAGAAATACACCTCTTGTGAATTTTGAAGCTTTTAAGTGTCTTAAAAAAGGTAGTTGCTAACAAGTGGCTAAATTGGACTACAAAATGCCATCACGCCAACTAGTTCGCCTTTAAAGCCTCATTGTGTTTACTCACGCCAGGGTGTTTGTTTGTAGCCTAACCAGTGACTTGCGGTGAGGTTCGTGGCTGGTGAGGCACTGACTCTTTCAGAGTCAGATTTACAAATATATGAACCATGTTAGATATGTTTGCTAAGCTATGATTGGACCGTTGCTGTTTGGGGTTTAGTGAATGGTATATTGGTATCCAATAACACATTCAGAAACGATGGTTCAACTATCAAACATGTAAAAAAAACTCAAACATGCAAGGTTTTCAGCAGTCTAACAGATCTTTACAGTTGCATGATTAGGATTACGTGTGTGGGGAAATCTACGTAAAACGTGCGCTGGTTTGTTTTGTGGGTTTGAGAGTCGCTCCACTCAACTGAAGCTTGCTAGAAATATTTCAGAAGGAACCAACACTCGAGCCTCATATCCGCCAAAAAAGAGCCTTACATCTGCAATGTAGATGCATTTTGGATATAGAAAATGACCAGAGAGTCTTATGAACCGCTGATTAATTACACAGTTTAAACATCATAGGTTTTCAGCAGTCTAACAGATCTTTACAGTTGCATGATTAGGATTACTACTTTGTCGTTTGACCACACATTCACACCAGCATCGACATTTTGTATGCAGAATGAAAAAAGTCAGATGAAATTGCTTCACTTATCATTTATTAAAAAGAAAACAGTAGAAAATATGACAACTTGCAGGTGGAGGTTATACATGCCTGACATTCTTAAAAGGTGCATTAGGTTACTCTTACACTGTTCATTTGTTATTCTCATTTGCTATTTATATTTCACATTCCAATGAGTTTGAATCAAAAGAATGAATTTTCCCTCATGTAATTAATGTTATCTTTATTTTTTTCATAAAACACAATTTTACAGTCTGATTAATGAGTTTTGTGCATTAATACTGAATCATGTAAGAAAGGCTCACATTGCTTCTAAGAATTAATTATTTCTTGAAGCCTTAATTTTAACCGTTTCCAAAATAAGTAGTAGCCTAATAACACGGAGATGCCTTGAGAAAACAATAAAATGCTGCTCATTCATTTGTTTGTACTGTACTGAGTAATCTGAAGAAAGGATAGAAAGTTATAGGGATGGAATTCAATTTAAGGAGATTCCTGTCCCTAGATTGGAGATTGGTGCACACGGGGAGTCTGACTTACACGTAGCATTAGTGTGAGCATTGCATGACAAAACCAGACCGGCTAACAACCCAAAGTTTGCCTAGGTCGTAGCTCACGTGGCGCATTCGCATGCACACTGGGATGGTGACCCAGGATGTGCCATATGGGTAACGACTGGAAATGCCAGCTCTGTTGAGAAAAAAAATAAAAATCTTCATTTCGTTTCCATCAGCAGACACATATGACAATTCACTTTTGGCTCAGATTTCTTGTCTATACTCATAAATAAACACTGACTAAGTGCTGTAATAAGAAGCCATAGTTTTATAATCACGCCTTATCAAAATGTCAAACTTACATACAGCAATTACACCACAATAATTTTAACATCATATTAGTGCGCATGCATGTAAATGTAAAGATATTTTTTTGGTGATATTTCTTGTAGGTGTACTGCTGTTACTGTTCTTGCTATACATACTAGAATGTTGTGTATAGCTTTAGGTTGTAACGCTGCTGTATCTACAAACATAGTAAAAATCATCCTCTCAATTGTTAATGCCAGACTGTGAGTACTTGCTTACCTTTGCACGACCTGGCCTGCTGTGGACACTCCAAAAACCTTTCCGTCAGTCCCCGCTTCAATCATTAGCAGGCTTCTGCCCGACACTAATCTCCAGGCAGTGCTTCTGCAGGTGCTTGGGTACACTTGTGCGTAGTAGACCTGGTAGGACCTGTCGACTCCCCAGCATCCGTTGTGTGGGCTGCAGCTGAAGTACCTCATCGACCTCGACAGGTAAGTCCAGCTCAGGGAGCTCGGTCGACTGTAGGCCAAAGCTGACGCACTTCTCAGGCAGTAGGCGCCCCAGGCGCTATTAACTCCCACGACCTGCTCATCACCTCCCGCGTCCACCTGCAGCATAGACAGACCTGAAGACGAGTACATTTAGTCAGCAAACAGTTTGATGTGAGTACTGTAAATGTGGAAAATGTCACTTGGGGACCGTTCTACATAGTAGGAGTGCTGTACTGCACTAGCGCTATATTATACAGTAAACTAAAGAAAAGCAATAATGATGCCCACGTAAAACCATCCAGCCTGTTGTGTAGTGGATGTAATAATAACAATGCTAATAATACTACTAATAATAATAGTAGTTACCAGAGGATTGTTGAAAGTTGCCAGCTATGTATTTGTAGACCAAGTTATTGTAGCCAACTCCCCAGATTCCTGCAGGTCCCACTGAGACATGCTTGAGTCTGATTGTGCTCAGTCTGTACCAAGATGATCCAGCCAGGAAATACGGGTAATTCTGGTCTCTTGCAATCACTTTCCCAAGCCCGGCGTCAATCTGTTGAACATTATTCAGCCGCGGAGCCTCTGTGCAGGTCCAGGCTGTGGAGGCAAAATGATCATTGTAGAGAGTGGAAAATACATATCCGTTAAAATAAAAATAAATCTAATTTCACCTGTAACCGCTTCAACGATTCATTTTGTTATGAAATGTAATCTGACGGTGACTTACCAGCAACACTGATGGCCAGGTAACACAGCACCAGCAAGAAGGCTACGACACCTTTCATGTTGTCTCAGTGTTTGCAAGTCTCTAGTCAGTGTACCTCGGTGTGAAGCTGCTGACCTACATCCTATCTGGTTTCTCTGGCTTTTATACTTCTCGATCCTTGGGTCCAAACCATGTGGCTAATTATAGGCAAAGCTGGTTCTGCAAGCTGTTTCGGGGAAACTAGGAGGACATTTTTATTTCCTTCTATTATTGTGGCCTTTCATTTCAAATATGCACCAGGTTTGCCAGCCTAGATGGTACAGCCTCCCATGTTGCACTGGCCAACATTAAAAAAAACGAAAAGAAGGGTGGTGATCTCTGAGACGGAAAGCATAGTTAAGATTGG